TTTTATTGTACAGCGTTGAAATGTTGAAAATATAACAAACGCGTAGTGCAATTATTCGAGAATTTTTACTGGAGTCCAGTAAATAATAGTTTGCGAACTAAATTACAATTTTCTATCCCGCGAAAATGGTGTACATGGGCCGATTCCATATATTTCCGAATTTCTGCTAAAAGTATTTAGCAAACGCATTGTATGTACTGAAAAAAAATTATTTTTGTGTAAATAGATAAAATTGAATAGTTTTGAGCAAAATTTCTTAGCAGATGCGGCCATCACCACCGGATGATGATAATAATAGTTATAATAATAATAATTAGAGTCCAGGGTCGATTGTTGAGATTCACTAGTGTAATCTTTGAAACAGTTGATGACTGCATACGAGATGCCGGTAATTAACGACAAATTATTTTTGATAAGGAAGGAGCACAAAGTAATTAAAATTCAATTACACGATTATTATTTTCATTTCATCGGGAGTTCGAGAGGTAATACCAGTAATTGAGTGCGAAGCGATTTTTATTCTGACGAGGGGAGGGTACGAAATAATTTCATGGAAATTGGTTGATAATTATTCTGATTGAGTAAATAAGACATTAGGAAAATTGAAGGAAAATCGTTTTTGAGGTGAAGGAGCACGAAATGCCGAGAAAAAAATTGCGAATTTTGAAATAGAAAAAATTTAAAAATGTCCGTAAAACATAATATGAAAGAAGAATGACCGGGGGAATAATTGCAGTCGAATATACCGAACAGCTAATGCCCAATTAATCAGTCCATCTCTGCACTTTCAACTCAATACATTCACTTCAGCGCAATTATACATCTCCTAATCAAGAGTAGAGGACAAAGGATTACATCATTGGGCCGAAAAATAATTTCCAAATCGACGTGGGCTTCTTGACATGACATGACAGTCACAAAAATACTGCAACAATTGGGTCATAGAATATAATAGGGTGTAACAAAAAATATATTTGAATCAAATACATAGTGTATATAGTTTATATAAATTGAGTATAGTAATATAATTAATGAATTATTAAATAACGAGAATTATTGTAAATTCTGACGAGAACTTGGGACTGACCATCGCCCCAAGGCTTCCCATCAATCATTTACATTTTATATACATAATAATTAGTAAAATTATATGAAGTATACTTCATATAAATTTTCAATATATTTTCAATGAATTTGCAGTAATGCAATCGATCATATTTTCCGTAAATTTTTTGTTAAAGGCGTACAGATTTTAATTAGATTTCCATTTCACTTTTCGGCTTCATTACCATAAAGAGTAATTTCCTCATTTCGCCTTCAGCCGTCAAGAAAATCATCACCCACCCATCATTACTCCACTCCCCCGTGAAATTCCCACAGCAATCTCGATGAATTAATTCTCCCCGACGCATAATAATAAATTCTCTACGTGGAATTCTCTCTCAATGCCGCCATATCCTCCCGCATGGAATCCGGATGCCAAGTTTTCCACTCACAATTCCACCGATCAAAACCGATCCTCGTAACAAAAGACGTAAAAACTAATATTCCCGGCAAATGTTAAATCGTGGAATAATTAATCAGGGGTTCGCCAGCTGATCATGATGATCCATTATTTACATAAAAACTCGATACCTCTTAATTCATTGGGTGGAAGGAAAAAAAAAAATTATTCCTCCGGGCTATTCGTTGAATTACAATTGCAGATTGCAATTGTCCGGAGATAATTTTTATAAAACGTGGGGTTGACTCACTCCCTGCGTCAATCGCGTTCGAATTACTTCGTAACGATTTCCGATTCACCTCCTTCGCCGATTGAACTCCTCTAATTGCATAATTATAAACAGCTGTTACATCGTGCCTCATGCAAACCCGATAACTACCAAATGAGGGAATTGTAAAAAAAGGAATGAGTAGAGACACGAGTCACTTCCAAGTCGTGTCTTTTGTTCAGTGAAAGTAATTATCTGATCGGCTTCCGTGATTCTATGGTGTGATAAAATATTGCCGCTCGATGGGGCGGTGTTGGAATTGATGTATCGCATTATTATTGGCATTATCTGTTCAGGTGTTTCAATTCCATTTTATACAGATTGATAAAAAATTTTTACTTCATTTCCGTTTCGCTATTTAAGGATGTTCTCCCTTTTCAGTTAAAATTACAATTTGTTGAATTTCCAGACAAATTATTGATTAAAAAACCCAAAAAATATGTTTTTGGGTTAATTTAATCTTTGCACTTTATCAAACAAACAAGCCTACGTAATTATGGCACGATTACGGCATTTTAGAACTAGCCCGAATAAAACTCTGCATTTTCTTTATTTTATTGAACAGTCGAGACTTTCGGGGCGATTCTGTAATTTTATTAATTTACTCTATTACGGTTCTCGGAGTTATTCCCCCAAACAAAAATCTTCCACACAAAATCCTCCGGAAGAAAGATAAATAACCTGTGAATTATAGGATACGATAAATCTTCATATACATAATCGGTAAGCGCACTTAGGTTCCGTAATTATTATTGAATATTTCCCTCCCTGTATGAATATTTTTTGTTATTTTTCCACGGGAGTGGCCGCGAGTTGAGTGTCAAAGTCATAAAAC